AGAAAACACGTTCAGGGGCTAATCGGACAAATATTTTACAAAGCACATGTAATACGGGGTGTGGACCCTACGCGGTTCCTTGGAAAAACTGACACTCCCTCCATTCCCACATGCCCACGAACTACTGCCTTCCTCTCGCAGAAAAAGGATCGAGCGCTTAGATCTTTGCTAGGTGGTACTCAACCACCTTGAGAGTACCAAATTGGCACGCTTTATCTCCGAAAGTTGTTCATTTCTGGCCCAATTCTTGTGGAACAATTGTAGACTCATGATTTTATCATTTGCTTTGGAGACCACCTTATGTAAGTCGCTTGTGATAGCTAGGTCTATGTTGTATTTCACCTTTGCTTTCAGGGTTTGATATAATATAAACTTGTTTTGGAAGACAATGTTGTTCCTTTCTTTTCAAATTACCCAGAAGACAATTGCCCTTATCACAAATGCAACATAACTCCAGTCTTCCGCACCGTGCAACTGTGCTAGGATTGCGCCGAATAACATCCAATCTTCGTCTCGTACGAAGCTGTTTTAACAGAACTTGAACTCTTGATCTCTCCACCACAACCAAATTCTCCTAGAGACGGCCAGGACAACCATATATAGTTGACTCGAAAGGCCATTTACAAAGCCTACAGGAAATTTGAATTGCCATACCTCTATTTCAAAGCCAGACCGCCAACGGGGTCAGCATCATTGAAAGCATCCACAGAGGTGCAACCAACCTTTGATAAGGTATCTATTGCAAGCCCACCCAATCAAGTTCTATACGCTTTGAAACTTTGTGTGTTTCTTTTTTGGTTACTTGCTTCCACCTTTCTGTGGCAATAACAATTGGTGGGTTGTTTTTTTGGAGTCGTTTTTGGCCAATACGCGTGGAGTATTCAGACAACCAAAGTTCAGGATTTTGCCATCGCCACATTTCAGGATCCAGTCGAAGGGATATAACAATTTTCCCTCTCGCCTAGAGGGAGGAGGTCCATATGCCATCCTTTTAGCATTTTTCCTTCACCTTCATTTGGAATAATGATCTTATAAGACCAACTGTGGCGCCCTATTCTTCATAGGGTAATTATGAAATCGAGGAGTTATCAATAACCCATTCTTGAAAACGTATGCTACCCTTTTGTTGTACCTCCACTAACTTTAGGAACGTACCCTTGTTCGGTGGATCAGGTTGGTACCACGTACCGACCGGGTTAGTTTTAATATAAGTTTGCAAATCTTTCCAGTCTTTAGGGTTGGTTTGTATCAACGCTGCGAGCTTCTCCTCCACATGGTCGAGTCTGCCCAACTTTACTCTCACCTCCTGCGTACTGTGCCATTTGCCGCAGATATCGTCCCAAACATCAATAACCCTTAGGACACCTCTCTCAATCGAGGGTCTTCAAAAGAAGCCCGGGGCTGTATCTGCAGCGAATGGTACATCCCTGTGGTCTCTGACGCGCGGATTCTCAAATAATGGTTGCTCCAACACCCTTGATTCCATGACCGGTTGGGTCCATAAATTTGGTTTGACCTTGCTCCAGGGGTACATGACATACCTAAGCTGCCTTCTCAGAAACGAATCTAACATATATCACAGCCACACATCTCTTAGTCTGGGAAGTTGCCAGTCCTCGGCCAAAATTTCTTCCGAGTCTGACATCAACACGCAGTGGTCCTCCTACTCCATGGATGAGGCTGCTCTGATTAGGCATTCTGAGAGCATTGCGAGATTCTGTTTCTGGGGATCTACCATACCTAAGCCTCCCTCTTTCCTTGGGTAGCAGATACAGTCCCAGGCTACCTTTGAAATGAACCCACTTTCTGCCTTACCAAAAGGCTTCCGAACAAACCTTGCCGCTACCCACTTCACTGCTTTTAGCAGCTGTTTGCTAAGGCTTCTCACCTTCCCTACAAACCACAGCACTGAGAACAGTGCTTCGTTAAGTACAATTTCCAAAGCACCTTTCTTTAAAACTAAGCTATATTCTTCTCTCAATTTCACCTTTCGCTACCTACCTACCAGTACTCCTAAAACTATACGGGGGACCCCTGCAAGCATAGCTACCTCTCTCTGCCCCCCGCCCTAATCCGCAGTGGTCAGAGGGTAGGGTGGGGCCGCCAGTCCCGGGGGGCGGTTAATGCAAAGACCAAGCATTTTGCCAGTAACTGAGCCTCCCATTTACTTCCCCCACCCCCCATCCGGTAGCAGCAGTAACTATGACCAATACTCTCCCACACACCACTCACAACCCACTCACGCTCACACTCTCACCCCTGTTGGTCATAGACCCTACTAATACCGATCAGGGGTATCAAACGGACTATCACAGTTGGTTGGCACTAAGTGCGCTGCAGGCGTGGGGCTCAAACCCACAACTTCTTGATTGCCACTTGCACGCTGGAACACTTGTGCGCTGGAGCTGCATTCTCCAGCCTTCAGCCTTAGTCGTCGTGCAAGTGGTCACTCACATTTCCCATTTAGCTTAGCAACGAAGCATCAGGGCCAGATCCTACTGGCAAAGAGGATTCGAATACTTGTCTTAATCTGGACGTGTTCCACACAGAGATGCAGAAAAGTAGATCAATCACAAGTTTTCGCACCTGTCCACAAACACGTCCACATTCAGGCACTTACTACAATCCTCTTTGCCAGTGGGATCTCGCCCTCAGGGTCACCAGGCCCTTGGGGGGCATACAAGCGAACAAATACATCCCTGACTGGAAGTTCTTTTCTTTTTTTCTTTTTTCGAATGTGACTGAAAGTCATTGTTCGAGTATGCTTTAAATTGACTAAAAAAAAAAAAAAAAAAACTCACTGTATGTACGTGGCGGTATCGAAGGTCAGGGGCCTCGTCCCACTTGCACCGTTGAGTTGAGCTTCCTCAACGGTGTGACAGCTTTTCAAGCTTTTTTTTTTCCGTAGAAAAGAAGAATGCATTTTTTTTATTTTTTTTTTCTGCCCACACATTTCTTTGGAATTTTCGTTTTCTTTCCCGTGGAGCAAATCTATCCATGTCACTTGCCCCATTAGGAAAGTCGACAGGTCTTTTTCCATCTTTCCCTCTTTCTCTCTCTCTCTCTCTCTCTCTCTCTCTCTCTCTCTCTCTCTCTCTCTCTNCTCTCTCTCTCTCTCTCTCTCTCTCTCTCTCTCTCTGTGTGTGTGTGTGTGTGTATGTGACAGATGTAGATATTGTGAACCTGAATGGGAAGTTGTCCACATTCAGGGCACACGAACAGACAGTACAGCCGCGTATAAACAGCTATAGAAAGAACATTCCCGTGAAAAAAGCTAAAGAACGCGCGGACAACGGATGACTGAAACGTCAACAGTCAACAAATGATGAAAAATACACAACTCACAGAAAATTATAAATAAATTGCGTTGAACTAGCTACAACGCAAAAAAAAAGGCAGCTAGCTCAACGCTAGGGCACGAGGGTAGGGGGCTTTATATTCGAGTTCTTAAGTTTCTTTGAGGTTATGCTATAAAATTTAACAAAACAACAACCGCGTGGCTTTGCAGAAAAAAGAAGAACTGATGGATTCTCCTAGTATTTTGCATCCCCGACGTTGCGCTTTGTCCCACGTGATAGAAATCTCAACGTTGAGCTAACTCAACGGTGCAAGTGGGACGAGGCCCCAGATACGAGGGAAGAAAATAGGAATGTGTGAGTTTTTTGAAATTGGACTGGCGGGAGAGGGCGGGCATTCTTGGCGGGAGAATATTGGACTGGCGGGGGTCCCAGCCCACATGCGCCGTGTAGTTTAGTTTTTGTGCAACTGTGTGACGCCAAAAGGCGGGAAAAGAAGGTCGAATAATCTTCTTATTTGATTTCATTCATCTATGTAATGCCATTAGGAATCGAACTCAGGTCTTCCTTTCAACAGTTCATGGGTGTGCCACATCCTGTTCCTCCTGTTGGACAGACTAGATCCTTGGGACCCTAGACATGTCTCTGACAAGCCAAACCTGGCCTTACCTTTTCCCCCTGCATTCACTGAAGAGGAAAATCCGTGTGTGTAAAAAAAGAAAAAATAAATAAATAAATAAAAAATCCCTGTGTACTTTACTATCTGAAAAAGTCCTCCTAGAAAACTACAAGGCCTGTTCCTCTCCTGCCATCCCCAAGGTGACCCCAACATGACACCCCAACCAATCACAAAACAGTAGGCTGCTGGCTCCTCTTCCGAAAGCCGGGGTTGTGTAATCCTACCGTCCATTTGTCAGATGATCAACGGTTCACAGTGATCCCACAGTCACACAGGTAGCAGAAAACTATACTACAAGGGGCTAGGTCCCACTTACACGAATCAAGCGACATTGAACGTAGATAACAAAGATCAACGGCCATAATCTCTTAATCTGTGCAAGTGGGACCTTGCCCACGGCTGCATGTGGGCCGAGACCACGGGGGCTAGGTCTCACTTGCACGAATTAAGAGATACTGACCGTAGATTGCAAAGATCAACGGCCGAAATCTCCCTATTTGCGCAAGCGGGACCTTGCCCCGGGAGAGGGCGGGCATTTTTGGCGGGAGAACTCGTGAAAAATACCAAGGATGAACTCACACTTGAAATTCGTAGAATGTATCTAACTGAAATGACGGCCAAATTCGTCGTTGTGTGGATACGCTCTAGAAGCTAACGATTCACAGAGAACTCCTAACAAGTACGGGCACAAATGAGGAAAGAGAGGTCTACAGCAAAGAAAGAGAGAGACAGAGACGGAAAAAAAAAAAAAAAACCGTACACACTGATAGATGCACAGACAGATCACTAGATAGTCAGACAGATCACTAGGTAGTCAGACATATCACTAGATAGATACACGAAGAGAGAGAAAGAGATACACACGGAGAGAGAGAGAGAGAGAGAGAGAGAGAGAGAGAGGCTCGCAGTTGAGGGTAATCCAGGCACTATCGTGAGAGAGAGAGAGAGAGAGAGAGATGCTCGCAGTTGAGGGTAATCCAGGTACTATCGTTATCATCTACGCCATTGTCGTAATCTCCTTGACTGCAGTTGTCATCTTCCTCCTCTCTCCTAAGAAGACATATAATCGACGTACTGCCTAGCGATAGATTTCGACCATCACCATCATAATCATAATCATAATCATAATAATCATTATCATCATCATCGTAAGCATCAGCATCGTTTTGTAGCATGAGAAGAAGATCTCTGTCCGTTTTACGGTGTGGCTATGGGGCTCGATTATCGGCTTTCGGCAGGAGGGATATCAGCAGCACTCTCCCACGTGGACCGGAAACCAGTCTGGATTCATCAACGGCTTGCCACGTGGACGCTGATGTGGCAAATCACGTCTGGAAAGGTCCTTCTGCGACTGCACAATGGCCGTCATCGAGCGAGCTCGGCGGCGTTCAGTGCAAGAGAAACCTGCATGCGCTCTCGATGGAGTGGATAAGGACTTGCCACGTCAGCGCACGCGTCGACACGTGTCCAATGCGGATGTCAAATGAACGGCATTATGAGGTCAAAACACGTTGTACATGGAATGGAGTCAATGGACATGGATTTAGAGCTGCGTGTGCAAGGGCGCGTAGTTCGGATATCAGCGGCGCCAGAAATGGGGTCGACGTGGAAATCGTGCGGCGAGCGGTGTGTGCAAGGGCGGCTGCGACTTCAGAAAATCAGTTGTCGCCCACTCGGCTTTCGGCTGCCACTCGTTTGTCGCCCGCTGTGACCGAATTGCTGGGACATGGTCGCACAGGCCGTGACGGTGCCCTGGTCAGTATTATTAGACCATTATCCATGTTGTTGCAGCGATTTGTTCCACATTCAGTTGCCCTCTGCTTCGCTGTGCTTCTCTCATTCGCTCTCAATCTGTCTCTGTAGACCTTCCCCTTTGTGTGTGTGTGTGTGTGTGTGTGTGCGTGCGTGCCCTGGTCCTCTCTCCCTGCCCTGCCTCCCTCTCTCTCTCTCTGTTTTTGTGTGCGCGTGCACCTCTCTCTCTCTCTGTGTGCCTGTGCTATTTCGATTTCTCGATTGCCTTTTGGCTCTCTCTCTCTCTCTCTCCCCCTCCCTCTCTCCCTCTCTCCCTCTCTCTCTCTCTCTCTCTCGCCCACCCCCGCCTACGTCCCTCTCTGTGTCGCCGTCTCATGTCTTCTCCTTCCACTTTCGGTGTGTGTGTGTGTGTGTGTGTGTGTGTGTGATCCGTTACTCCCTCCTCAGTCTCCTGTCTTTTCTCTTTGTTTCTGTTTTACTCTCTCTCTTGTACTCTCCCTCAAACGAAGACACACACACACACACACACACACACACACACACACACACACACACAGAGAGAGAGAGAGAGAGAGAGAGAGAGAGAGAGAGAGAGAGAGAGA